CACGACCAAAAATAAACAAAAAAACCCAAACAAATGATATAATGTGAAAATGTAGCCAATGTCATTGACCACATGCATAGAAATTGTTTAATTTGCTATGTAAACTCTCACCAAAACACAATAAAATACATTTTAAAAAAGAAGATAAAGTATATGAAAGAAAGTTTTGACATCCTTGCTGCTTGTACTTCTTCTAAGATAGATTTGGCAGTTCACGGTACTTCCAATAGCCTTTGCCAACACTTTAATTCAATGCTTCAATACTTCTTTGGTCTGGAGGCTATTGAAAAGACCGTGTCTTGGGTCAGACACACACACACCTTAGTCCTCACAGTAACCTCCTTACTTTTCAACACTTCAAAGAAGTCTTGTGCAGGCGAGTTACCTTATACAACGAGTCTTTGATCTCTTGACTGCTGCTTCTGAGTATTGATTATGGATTCAAGCAAGATGAAATCCTTGACAACTTCAATCTTTTCTCCGTTTATCGTGATGTTACATACTGGTCCAGTCGTAAGAATTGTTTTCTTTACATTGAGTGTAACGCATACTGAAGGTTGAAAATCCTTGATCTTCATCAGCAAGTGCTTCAAGTTATCTTCATTTTTCTGCAAGCAAGGTTGTACCAGCTGCATATCAAAGGTTGTTAATAAGCCTTCCTGCACTCCTGCTGCCATATTCTATGTAGATCCTCTGATGATTTGCTCAGCATACAGATTGAATAAATATGGTGAAATGATACAATCCTGACACACACCTTTCCTGATTTTAAACCATGCAGTATTTCCTTGATCTGTATGCACAACTGCCTCTTGATCCATGAACAAGTTCTGCATAAAAAACATGAAATGTTCTCTAATTCCCACTCATCTAAAGGCTATCTAAAAGATGGACACAATGGATATATGTATGGATTGTGATAAGAGCTATAAGAGCCCCCAATAAAATGATTTAAAAAAATAAAGGCTATCCATAGTTTGTTGTGATCCACATAGTCAAATGACTTTGCATAGTCAATAAAACACAAATAAACATCTTTCTGGTAGTCTCTGCTTTCAGCCCAGATGTATCTGACATCAGTAATGATCTCCCTTGTTCCATTTCCTCTTCTGAATCTGGGCTGAACTTCTGGGAGTTTCTGTCGATGAACTTCTGCAGTCATGGTGGGGTGAGCATTCTCTTGGGTCACCGTTCTTTGGAATGGGCACGGATCATGGATCTCTTCTCGTCGCTTGGCTAGGTTGCTGTCTTCCAGATTTCCCGGCACAGCCAGATGAGTGCTTCGGTTCTTCATCAGCTTGTTGAAGTACGGTCTTTCAGTTGGTATTCTGTAAAGTCCCGGACCTTTGTTTTTGGCTCGTGTTTTCAATGCAGCTTGGACTTCTTCCTTCAGTAGCATTGGTTCTTGTTCATACGCCACCTCTTGAAATGGTTGAATGTCAACTCGTCCTTCTAGTACAGTGATTCTACGTAATATCTCCTACGGTATGCTGAGTCTGTTCTTCCTTTTTTTGTTTTCT